GCTCAAGCAAACAGAGATACACAAAAAATATTTATAAAATGCAGAATTCTTCTATGTGCTTCACAGCCTTCCCTCAGAGTCTCCAGCCCCAAGGCATGCCCATGGCTAGCAAGACATATTGGTGGAGGGCGGTGGTGGGTGGAGTGCTCTAGCTATGCTGCTAGATGGTTCTTTGTGGACTTCCACAGCTCAGGTGTAAATTAGAACAGCCCCTCAGGCCACTCTAGTTTATGCCACTGGCCCACCCAGTATCCTAGTGGTGTAAACCACCTTTGTCCCTCATCCTCTGGACTCAGAATCAGGGCCTGTGATCTTGGTAGTTCAAAATGGAACAGTCCTAGTACAAGAGAGTAGTTGTAGCCATGTCAGTCTCAGGACATTCTAAAGACAAAGTGGTGGAGGTAATATCTTTTATTGGACCAACTTCTGCTGGTGAGAGAAGCAAGCTTTCAAGAGCTCTTCTTCAGGTCTTCAGCACAAAGCCAGGTTCCAGGGCGAGGTCACACACAGGCCTAGCCAGCTCAGGCAACTGATGCAACAGAGGCACGGCTGCTCCCTTCCCCGAGAGCCAGGAGGTGGGCCAGGCAGGCCATGGCTAGACACGAAGAGCTGTGTGGCTCAAAAGTGTCTCTCACCAACCGAAGTTGGGCCACTACAATTATTACCTCATCCACCCTGTCACTGGAGTACAGTAGAGTCCATCTCCCTGCCAAAATGGGTCCAAAAGAGGCCATGCCAAAACATCTTTTAGTAATCCGAGTTTGGTTTGGAGATCAGCTCTGGAATCCCACAATAGCATGATGGGGTGGGAACAAAGGAGAGGTAGGCAACACTTTAAGAAGCTCCCTCAGCAAGGATCTCTGGGTAGCTGATAGGTTTCAGAGTAGCAGCCGTGTCCGGCTGTATTCGCAAAAAGAAAAGGAGGACTTGTGGCACCTTAGAGACGAACCAATTTATTTGAGCATAAGCTTTCGTGAGCTACAGCTCACTTCATCGGATGCATGTAGTGGAAAATACAGTGGGGAGGTTTCAGAGTAACAGCCGTGTTAGTCTGTATTCGCAAAAAGAAAAGGAGGACTTGTGGCACCTTAGAGACTAACCAATTTATTTGAGCATGAGCTTTCGTGAGCTACAGCTCACTTCATCGGATGCATACTGTGGAAAGTGCAGCAGACTTTATATACACATAGAGAATATGAAACAATACCTCCTCCCAGCCCACTGTCCTGCTGGTAATAGCTTATCTAAAGTGATCAACAGGTGGGCCATTTCCAGCACAAATCCAGGTTTTCTCACCCTCCACCCCCCCCCCCACACAAATTCACTCTCCTGCTAGTGATAGCCCATCCAAAGTGACCACTCTTTACACAATGTAAATTTACACAGTGGGGAGATTTATATACACACAGAACATGAAACAATGGGTGCTACCATACCCACTGTCACCAGAGTGATCTGGCCTAGTCAATCCTCTGCTCCCACTGCCGGCCCGGCTCCCTAGTTTGTCATCTCCTAGCCCAGGGGCTGGGGTCCTCACGCCGACGGCTGCCGCGAGAGGCCGTGGCCGGCAGGGTGGGAAACCCAGGGCCGGGCCGCAGGCAGGCAGGCAGGCAGGCGAGGGGCTCGCCCCGCACACGTCTCCGGGCTGGCCACGCCGCTCAGGCAGGACCTCACGTGAGGGTGAGGCCAGGCGGAGCGGTGGCGCCGGGCCCGGCCCTTTGACAGGCCAGAAGCGGAAGGGCGGTGCTGGGCAGCCCCGGCCCGCGCGGGCCCCTAGCGCTGCCTTAGGTCACCCCGCGCAGGCTTCGGCTCCGCCCGGCCCCAACCCGCTTCCCGCTGCCGGGGCGGGACCAGCCGCGCCTCCAGTTGCATCAGCTGCCAGAGCCGGCTGGGCCTGCGCGTGGCCTCGCTCCGACCGGCACCCGGCCCGGCTGCGTGCGGAGGGCGGCATGGCAGAGGTAGGGAGCCTGGTGAGCGCCGCGCCCGTCTCAGGGGCTTCTATGTGGGTCCCCCCCCGCCGCGCTCTGGGCTCGCGGGCCCTCTGACCCCGGGCTGGGTTTGAACCGGGGGGCGAAAAGCCCCTGCTCCCCGGCCCACCTCAGGCAGCTCTCCCCCGCCCTCCCCCCGGCCCTGTGGCGGGTTCCCCTCTCGCTCGCGCAGGGTGTCCCGCCGCGGCCCTGCCCTGCGGGGTGGGTGGCCGTGGTCGGGCAGCGCCGGCGGGGCAGGTAGCGCGCGCCCGCAGCACGGCGCGGTTCCTGCCCCGCAGAGCGCGCAGGATTAGGGGCTCCCCTGGTCCTGCCATCGGGACCCCTGCGCCAACGTGGATCCCTGGTAAAATCAGCGGGGCTCGGTGCGGGCACCGGGGCTGCACGGGATCCGCCCCCAGGCAATCAAAAAGCCAATTGAAACCCTGCTAAACAACACGTATAGGGATGGCCAGCGCACAGCGAAACCTCCAAGTACTAGCGTGTCTGTTTCTATCCCCTCCAACGTTATTCCCCTTTCCACTGTAAATGGTCATCTCTTAACCACCGATTGAAAAGCGATGTGATTTTGGGACTCTTCACATTGGCCTTTAAGCTCTAGACAGCACTAACGTTTAAAATGGCCTAGAACCACAACCGTGCAAGGTGTTTTACAGGTGGGTAGAAAAAGGAAGTCCCTGCCCTGTGGAGTTTGCTGCCAGTTACAGTGTCACGTTGCATAGTTAGGTTTCAAAGTAGCAGCCGTGTTAGTCTGTATTCGCAAAAAGAAAAGGAGTACTTGTGGCACCTTAGAGACTAACCAATTTATTTGAGCATAAGCTTTCGTGAGCTACAGCTCACGTCATCGGATGCATAAAATGGAAAATGCAGTGAGGATGTTATATACACACAGACCATGAAAAAATGGGTGTTTACCACTACAAAAGGTTTTCTCTCCCCCCACCCCACTCTCCTGCTGGTAATAGTTTATGTAAAGTGATCACTCTCCTTACAATGTGTATGATAATCAAGCTGAGCCATTTTCAGCACAAATCCAGGGTTTAACAAGAACGTCTGAGGAACAGTGGGGGGGGGAGGAAAAAACAAGGGGAAATAGGTTACCTTGCATAATGACTTAGCCACTCCCAGTCTCCATTCAAGCCTAAGTTAATTGTATCCAATTTGCAAATGAATTCCAATTCAGCAGTCTCTCGCTGGAGTCTGGTTTTGAAGTTTTTCTGTTGTAATATCGCAACTTTCATGTCTGTAATCGCGTGACCAGAGAGATTGAAGTGTTCTCCGACTGGTTTATGAATGTTATGATTCTTGACATCTGATTTGTGTTCATTTATTCTTTTACATAGAGACTGTCCAGTTTGACCAATGTACATGGCAGAGGGGCATTGCTTGCACATGATGGCATATATCCCGTTGGTAGATGTGCAGGTGAACGAGCCTCTGATAGTGTGGCTGATGTTATTAGGCCCTGTGATGGTGTCCTCTGAATAGATATGTGGGCACAGTTGGCAACGGGCTTTATTGCAAGGATAGGTTCCTGGGTTAGTGGTTCTGTTGTGTGGTATGTAGTTGCTGGTGAGTATTTGCTTCAGGTTGGGGGGCTGTCTGTAAGCAAGGACTGGCCTCTCTCCCAAGATTTGTGAGAATGTTGGGTCATCCTTCAGGATAGGTTGTAGATCCTTGATAATGCGTTGGAGAGGTTTTAGTTGGGGGCTGAAGGTGATGGCTAGTGGCGTTCTGTTATTTTCTTTGTTGGGCCTGTCCTGTAGTAGGTAACTTCTGGGTACTCTTCTGGCTCTGTCAATCTGTTTCTTCACTTCAGCAGGTGGGTATTGTAGTTGTAAGAATGCTTGATAGAGATCTTGTAGGTGTTTGTCTCTGTCTGACGGGTTGGAGCAAATGTGGTTGAATCGTAGAGCTTGGCTGTAGACGATGGACCATGTGGTGTGGTTTGGGTGAAAGCTGGAGGCATGTAGGTAGGCATAGCGGTCAGTTGGTTTCTGGTATAGGGTGGTGTTTATGTGACCAGCGCTTATTAGCACCGTAGTGCCCAGGAAGTGGATCTCTTGTGTGGAGTGGTCCAGACTGAGGTTGATGGTGGGATGGAAATTGTTGAAATCCTCGTGGAATTCCTCAAGGGCTTCTTTTCCATGGGTCCAGATGATGAAGATGTCATCAATGTAGTGCAAGTAGAGTAGGGGCGTTAGGGGACGAGAGCTGAGGAAGCATTGTTCTAAGTCAGCCATAAAAATGTTGGCATTCTGTGGGGCCATGCAGGTACCCATAGCAGTGCCGCTGATTTGAAGGTATACATTGTCTCCAAATGTGAAATAGTTATGGGTGAGGACAAAGTCACAAAGTTCAGCCACCAGGTTTGCCATGACATTATCGGGGATAGTGTTCCTGACGGCTTGTAGTCCATCTTTGTGTAGAATGTTGGTGTAGAGGGCTTCTACATCCACAGTGGCCAGGATGGTATTTTCAGGAAGATCACCGATGGATTGTAGTTTCCTTAGGAAGTCAGTGGTGTCTCGAAGATAGCTGGGAGTGCTGGTAGCGTAGGGCCTGAGGAGGGAGTCTGCACTGCATTTTCCACTTTATGGATCTGATGAAGTGAGCTGTAGCTCACGAAAGCTTACGCTCAAATAAATTGATTAGTCTCTAAGGTGCCACAAGTACTCCTTTTCTTATTGCATAGTTAGTAAAGGGTAAAGCAGAGCACAAAAAGTGTGTTTCTTAGAAATGGGGGGTTACTGACTGTTCTTCATAACATATTGGTAAGTCTTATATGCCCAGTTAGAACTGGAGAAACTGAGGTAGTAAGATGAAGTGACTTATCTGAGGATATGCAGAGTCCTTGTCAGAGCTGGTATTAGGATTCAAGACTTTCTGAAGCCCTGTATTGTGCTGTGCTTAAACCAATGGACACCTTTTCCCTCACCTATAGAGTTAGATACAGCTATAAACTTGACATTGAGAAAGGAGAGTAAAGTAAGATTAGTTTATTTGTCTTTTTAGATAGCTGCTGGGGAAGAAAAGAAGGAATGGGGAAAGAAGAAAACCAAAGAAGGATCTGGTGATGGGGGTTGCACAGAGGTAAATTTCCAGTTCATTTATATGCTTTTAAACAGTTCAGTTTCATTGCTGAATGTTGGACCGAGGACATCAATGTATTACACCAGGGTTCTCAAACTTAATTGCACCGCGACCCCTGTCTGACCACAAAAATTATATCACGAGCCCAGGAATGGGGGACCGAAGCCTGAGCCCAGCTGCCCCAGGTGGCAGGGTCAAAGCCTGAACCCCACCAGCCGGGGCTGAAGCCCTTGGGCTTTGGCTTTGGTCCTGGGCAGTAGGGCTCAGGCTTTGGCCCCACCCCTACCAAGTCTGAGCCAGCCCTGACAACCCCATTAAAATGGTGTTGCGACTCACTTTGGGATCCCAACCCACAGTTTGAGAACCACTGCATTACACCTACTATTGTGGGTGCTCTTGTGCGCCAGCTGATTTATAGTAATGACATGCAGCAGTGAAATAGTTATGAAATAGTTTTTGTTTCTTTGATGCTATTACAACAGGTTACGTTGGATTTGCAGAGCAGTCTGTAGTAATTCCCTTTTTACTATTAGTCCTCGGGTTTGCACCAGGATGAGGGATTCATTTGTAATGATGATGTAACCTTTGTCTTTCTAGTGACTAAGTTTTCTAACTTTGAGTAAATGAGAATGCATAGTAGTATAGACATGAAAAGCATATTTTTTCTTAACCTTGTAGTTTCTGAAATCTTTATTACTTGGCATATTAGAATTTTAAGCAAATTATTATAAACCAGGTACAAGCCAATGTTTATTTAATTTAAATAATCTTAATCTTAATTTAGCTAAAGTTTTTTTGTCTTTAAATTAAAATTAATTATGATTACTTAGTGTTTAAATGGCATTAGCCACACTTCTGGAGGCAGACTATTGAAGGAGTAAATGGGAAGAGTGGAAGAGTAGCAGGTTACAGGTTAAAGTGGGAATGGAAGAAGAAAGTGGAGATGGGTAGGGAAGGTAGAGCATCAGTACAGATTAGCTGGGATGTTAGTAGGATTTGATTTATTAGAATAAGGTCGAGTCAGCGTTTGTATACCTGTAGGAGGCGGAAGTAGGAGATCTTGAGATACATACGATTATAAACATTTTTTGTTTGTAACTGAAACAGTGTGCTGTTAGTTCCCTCCCCCCCATTTATTATTGTGATAATAATGTCAGCAGCTTGCTTTTTCCAGTGTATTTTAAGCTACAGTAGAATTTGTGCTTCTCAAACTCTTGTTGCATTGCATTAGCTGCTTTTTTTAATAAGAAACTAGCCTGACCCTCTCTCTCTCTTGAAAAAGGATACTGACTAAAACTTTCATAAGGACCCAAGTGACTTGAAAATCAATGAGATTCAGATTCCTAAGTCACTTAGACACTTCAGAAAAATTTACCTTCTTTGCTTAATTTTTAAAGTTATTTGTCATTAGAACTGCAAGTCTTTGCTAATTACTTCTCCTTTCCTCCATACTTTTACATATAGCTGAATCCCTGGCCTGAATATATCAATGAGCGTCTAGAGAGGTATCATAAACTTAAAGCAGAACATGATGCGCTTCTAGCAGAAAGAGCTGCAAAAGACAGCAAACCCATTAAAGTGACATTACCTGATGGCAAGCAAGTTGATGCTGAATCCTGGAAGACCACTCCTTATCAAGTTGCTTGTGGAATTAGGTATGACTGACTTATGTGACCTATGCTATCACTTTCAGACAGAACTACTGCAAATTGCATCTGTGATCTTTTATAGTTCTTAGCGTGATGGATTATTTATTTCTTAGCACAACTTAATTTTCTTCAAGGCATTATTTTTAGCAATCTTGCTTTTACTATAAATTCAAACTAAACAGCTTTCTCATTTCAAAACATAATTCTTTGCCTTATGAAGATGCTGTTTCTAAAATTAAATCATTTTTTACGGGCTAGATCCTGTAAATACATAAACATGTGAGTAACTTTTACTAAGTGACTACTCCTGTTGAGTTGGGAACTAATCAACCATGCAAATAATGTTATTCACATTCTTGAAGTGTTTGTAGGATTGGGTGCTAGTGCATCACATAACTTAATCTATTCTGCATGGATATGTGGAGGCCTGGTGGGTGAGAGTCACCCATAAAAATATCTTAATTAAACCCTTTTCCTACATATGTGTGGCACATCAAAAAGAGCACTACCTTAACTTTGGATGTATATCAAATGGTTAAACTTTTATTATAGTTTTGGGCAACGTATTAGGCATCTTGGAAAACTTCATGGTCATGTTTTATGATGCTCAAAATTAAAATGAGAAGACCTTAAACTTTAAATAGAAACACGAACCCTATTGTGGCTATGTTATTCATTGTACTTAAAAGCTTATCTCTTTGCTTTCTTGGTACATGTGTTTAAGGCTGCAGTTCACGTCCATGCTGTTTGCATGCTTATTCATCTGTCAAAATAGTCTCTGAAAATGTGGCCTCAAACTTTAATTTAGTGCCCTTTATCATAAAAATAAAGATTGTACCTATATGTTCATTCAGTGTTTCCATTAAGGTCAGGGTGAGTCCGGGATCAGTGAATGTTTCTGAATAATATTGGTAGGGTTCTTAGACATCAAATAATCTCCAGTAGAGTTGATTTCTTCTAGGTTGAGATGAAATAAACTAAGAAGGAAAGATTAGGTCTTTCCTGGAGACTTGTTCAGCTCTAAATGAAGTGCTTTAGAAACACTCATGGTGTGATTCTTCTCTTGCAGTCAATCCATCTGAACTGCTGATCTGTTCAAACATTCAATAATTTCAGTTTAAGGTTCAAATGACTGCCAAATTTATCATCTTCAAGAATTGTTGGGATTTTTTTGTTAGTGGAGACAAATGTAAAAGTAATAGTACCTACCTGAAGTTTAAAAAAAAAAAAATCTGATCTCCTTCAGGTACTTACTTAAAAGAGCTGCATCTCCTATTGCAGAAGGATCATATTAGCAGAGTCGGCAAGTACTGCCCTAAGTAAGTCAAATATGTTAGTAAGAGTGCTCTACAGTGGGAAATTTGCTAAATAAACTACATTTAGTTTCTTCCTGCTCTTTGCCAAAATATATATAGAGAGAGAGAGTGTGTGGGGGATTTTCTTAAGTGCTTAGTGTTGGTCTAACTTTGCTTCCATTGCCGTCAGTGAGTGTTCTACCACCGACTTCAGTGGAAGCAGACTTAAGTCAACCCTAAGCATCCTGAAAATGCCATCCTGACTGTGCAGGGGAAAGGTTATAGGGGTGTGTCTCCATTTGTTGATTCCAATAGCTGACATACAAATTATTTATTGTATAGTCAAGGTTTGGCTGACAACACTGTTATTGCTAAAGTGAACAAAGTGGTTTGGGATCTAGATCGTCCCTTGGAGGAAGACTGTACCCTGGAACTGCTCAAGTTTGACGATGAAGATGCTCAAGCAGTAAGTATCTTCCACTAAACTGTTTCTCCCCTCCCTTGGATGACAAACTTCAAAACAGAAAAGGAGTACTTGTGGCACCTTAGAGACTAACCAATTTATTTAAGCATAAGCTTTCATGAGCTACAGCTCACTTCATCGGATGCATACTGTGGAAACTGCAGAAAACATTATATACACAGAGACCATGAAACAATATCTCCTCCCACCCCACTCTCCTGCTAGTAATAGCTTATCTAAAGTGATCACTCTCCTTACAATGTGTATGATGATCAAGTTGGGCCATTTCCTGCACAAATCCAGGTTTTCTCACCCTCCGCCCCAGAGTGAGTTTGTATGTGTCGTTTTTTGGGGGGGAGGTGAGAGAACCTGGATTTGTGCTGGAAATGGCCCACCTTGATTATCATACACATTGTAAGGAGAGTGATCACTTTAGATAAGCTATTACTAGCAGGAGAGTGGGGTGGGAGGAGGTATTGTTTCATGGTCTCTGTGTATATAATGTCTTCTGCAGTTTCCACAGTATGCATCCGATGAAGTGAGCTGTAGCTCACGAAAGCTTATGCTCAAATAAATTGGTTAGTCTCTAAGGTGCCACAAGTACTCCTTTTCTTTTTGCAAATACAGACTAACACGGCTGCTACTTTGAAACTTCAAAACCTGAACTTAGTCCTCGGTGAGCGTAACTGCCTTTAACATTTGTAGAATAAAGAATGAAAATCGTTGTACAGTACATACCTTATTTTGTACTAACTAATTCTTAAGAAAGGTGTGTGCTACTGCAGATATATGTATGCTGGCATGTATTAATATCAATTGCTTTGCTAGCAGTTGTGGTAATTAAGCCTATGTTAGGACTCTCATGGTGAGAATAAGCCTCTAAATCTGTAATCTTAATCTTATGTTAATGTTTTTTGTATTAGTATCTTTTTGCACATCATAAAAATGTAGCTCTTTATTTTAATGCTTGCTTATTCAGATTAATGTATGTGGAAAGTAGTATTAAGTACACTTTAAAAATGATATTCAGTACGAGCAGCACTCAACACTGTAGCTGAGATCTTAAATTCATACTTATTGTTCCCATATCAACTAACTCTGCCATGTTGCACATACGATATAGTTTAAGACATACAAAATAATGCTATTTATGTGCAACATGGACAAGTTACACTTATGGTGAGATGCATAATTTTGCATTTTCAGGTATGTACATTTAAAAACATGCTGCAGTCATATAGATTTGGTTTTAATTTATCAACAAAACTAAAAATAGTACCTTTGTAAAATTAATGTGCAAGTGTAATTTTTGTCTTCGTTTGATTTTTAATTGAAAACACAAACTAGTAAAAAAATCTTATCATGTGGAAAGACTGTTTGCTATGTATCCAATGTTGTATGTGTAAGACTTATTAACAATTTAGGCCCTGATTTTGCAAACTCCTGCACAGGTGCAGGATCGAGACCTTATGTTCCAGTTGTATCTTTCAGACTAAATATTGTGGGGGTGCAATACACAAAGTAACAGAAGTGCCTAAACTCCACTATTAAGCACCTAAGTTCCTGTGTGTAGCACCACTGTGATCCATGAAACTCCCACTTGGCTGCTGCCTAGCCCTCTAGGCACCTAAATTCAGTCAGCGTTTAACTTTCAACTGTAGAAGTTCCCTAACTTTTAGATCCTGTGGCATGAGCACTGCTGCCCCACTCTAAGGGTCCAGACAGCTGTCTTCTGCCTTAGCCCCAGAGCAATTCATGAACCTGGGAGGCATCGGGGGGGCGGGCGGGCGGAAGCTTAGTGTTTGGCTTCCTAAGTCATATGCGGGACCCAATCCATTAGGTGTCCCTTGAGCATGCCTAGCAGATTGGGTCCCATTCAAAATCTTGGATGGAGTGGGAGGATGGGGAGAGAGAGAGAAATAATGAAAGAGGGATTGGAACAGGGGGACTAGACTCAGGGGCTCCCATCTCCCAGGTGGGTGCCCTAACCACCGAACTACAGAGAGTGTCTCTCTCTCACCCACCTAGTCACACTGTCAGTATTTATCCTCAGCAGAGCAGCTTAAACAGGCGAGATGGAGGGTGCCTCACATCAGAATCTCCCATTGCTCAGTTGTGTCAGCACATTCCTGAGAGGTGTGGGAGCCCCCTGTTCAAATCCTTTCTCCCCTTCAGGCAGAGGGGGGGGAATTGAACCTGGGTCTCCCATATCCCCGGTGAGTGCTCTAATCACTGGGCTAAAAGACATACCACAGATGGCGGCTCTTCCTCCTCCAGCCTTTTTGTGTAGAGTGAAGCAGGCACTTAACTCATTCCTGCAAGACGCAGCATAGGTGCCCAAACCACCTGACTCTCCAGGAGGTAGCTTCCCGTTTGTGGAAAGAGCGGTGCCTCCCTGCAGTAGGGAGGGGCGGGACTTGGCACACACTCTGTCATTGGCATCTCCTGTTGGCTAGCTTGGGAGGCTCAGCACCAAGTGTGCTGAATTTTTGTGGATCACATTCTAAGGTGCCTGTCTCTCCCCACTCGTTGAAGAGGAGCCTAGACACCTAACTTGGCTATGTTAATCACGGTGTAGTTCTGTGATTCTCTAGGCCCCTAAAAGTTAGGTCCTGCAATGCTGTGTCACAGCACATAAGTCCCTTCATGGATCCCAGCTGTATTACCACTCCATTTGCTGGTATTTTAAAATAGATCGATGATGTCTGAATGTAGTAAATGAGGCTAGTCAATTAACATTTGTGCAACTTACTAAGTGAATTTTCTTTCCTCCCCCAACCATTTGAGAGAACTTTTATGAAATAAATTTTTCCAATACTTAACAGCTGTAAAGATGAGCAAGTACAATTTGTCAGATAATTACTCATGATTTTTGGGGGGTAAATTGGCAAATTGAATCATTTCCCACAGTGCAACCGTCTCTAATATTCGATTGCCTCCTTCAAGTATCTGTAAAAACAAATCATCAAAAGACTTCTGTATGGATTTCAGAGGATCTTGAAATGCTTTGTACATAAATACTCAAGCTGATCCACTTTTTATCCCTCTCATTAGGTATACTGGCACTCAAGTGCTCACATAATGGGTGAAGCTATGGAGCGAATCTATGGTGGATGTTTGTGCTACGGCCCACCAATAGAAAATGGATTTTATTATGACATGTACCTCGAGGATGGGTAGGTTCTTTCATTTCACTTCCAGAAGGCTAGACTGTAACCCTATATTCCAGACCAAGAAAAAGGCAGAATGCGTAGCTGTCCTGCGCTAGGAGCAGGAGTAGAGTCACAATCTGGGGAGTTTGAGTCACAGTCTAGTTCCTGCTTCCCCTTGCTCCTGGGGCAAAGTCCTCTGTTTAGCCCTTTTTCTGATGAAAATTATGTCCCTCATTGCGGTGACTCTAGTGCATGAGCTGATACATTGTGGGTGTGGATCGACAGCAGAGATTACTAGTAAGAGATAATGCAAATTTATTTTTGTCTGTTGTAGAGGTGTGTCCAGTAATGATTTCTCTGCTCTGGAGACCTTATGCAAGAAGATCATGAAGGAAAAACAACCATTTGAAAGACTGGAAATTAAGAAGGAAACTCTACTTGAAATGTTTAAGGTAGGTTGTTCTAGACTGTTGTTTCATATTTACTGTAGCTGCACAATAACATTAGCTGTGGAACATTAGCTGTGCATCTGCTATTAGCATTAGTGAAAATGCACCGCTGATGATGTGTGCAGCAAATTGACATAATTCCAAAGGTGTAGGTTTTTATATGGGTTTACTTGGGATAGTTAAAGATGAGCACATATACCAATTCATTTATTTAAATGTCGGGAATGAGGGTTAATCATGGGACTGTGTTCCTGAAACACCAGAGTTCTAATCTGATTCTTCCACTGACTCACATCATGGCCCTGGGCAAGATGTCTTTCTGTTACTTCGTTTCCCTGTCTGCAGAATGGGACTAATAGCTTACATGGATGTCGTGAACATGAATGGGATGGTTCTATAACTCTTTGAGAATATAAAACACTAGTGATAGTTTTCAGAGTAGCAGCCATGTTAGTCTGTATCCGCAAAAAGAACAGGAGTACTTGTGGCACCTTAGAGACTAACCAATTTATTAGTGCTGGCTTTGCAGATGTCTGAAGCTGTATTCAGCGAGCTCTTAAAATCAGTTTTCACATGACAGCACTAAGTCTGAAATAATATCTGTACTACCTTAAGCAACAAGGACTCTTGTGTTATCCTGTAATGTTCACTAGATAGACATGCATTAAATCACCATGATTGCTACTAGTGCTGAATTAGACACGAGCATTTTCCAACATTGTAGCATTTTTGCTTGAACTCCATTTGCTCAGTATTAACAGTGAACAGATCTTAGAAGAAATGAAAATCATAGAATCACAGAATTGTAGGACTGGAAGAGACCTTGAGAGGTCATCTAGTCCAGTCCCCTGCACTCAAGGGAGGACTAAGTATTCTCTAGACCAGTGCTTCTCAAGCTATCTGATGTGGGGGACCGGCAATTTTTTTTTCCAACGTGCGTGCAAACCGGCAGCTGATGGAACGGTCCGCTGACCACCACTTTGAGTAACACCGATCTACACAGTGGTTCTCAACTAGGGGACTGGGGCCCCTTGTGGGGGCTGCAAGCAAGCTTCAGGGGCTCCACTAAGCAGGGCTGGCATCGGACTTACTGGGGCCCAGGGTAGAAAGCCAAAGCCCTGACACATGGGGCTCAAGCCTGAGACCCGCTGCATGGGGCTCAAGATGAAGCCTGAGCAACTTAGCTTCACTGGGCCCCCTGTGGCGTGGGGCCTCATGCAGTTGCCCTGCTTGCTACTCCCTAATGCTGGCCCTAACTTTTATATGCAGAAAAACATTTGTTGTGGCGCGCATGGGCCATGGAGTTTTTATGGCATGTTGTGGGCGGCTCAGAAAGAAAAGGTTGAGAAGCCTGATCTAGACCATCCCTGGCAGGTGTTTGTCTAACATGCTCTTAAAAACCTCCAGTGATTGAGATTTCACAACCTCCCTGGGCAATTTATTCCAGTGCTTAACCGCCCTGACAGAAAGTTTTTCCTAATGTCCAACCTAAACCATTCTTGCTGCAATTTATGCCCATTGCTTCTGGTCCTATCCTCAGAGGTTAAGAAGAACAATTTTTCTCCCTCCTCATAACAACCTTTTATGTACTTGAAAACTGTGATCATGTCCCTTCTCAGTCTTCTCTTCTCCAGACTGAAAAAGTTGGGTTTGTTTAATCTTTCCTCATAGGTCATGTTTTCTAGACTTCTGTTGGCTCTTAGGTTAATTGCTTATCAGCCGAATTACTTTTCTTTCAGAGATCAGCTGCAGTATACACAAGGATTGGGGGGCAGGGGAGAAGCTTTGAAGGAAACAACATAAATATAGTCGGTTGCCCTATTTTTAAAAGAAACACCACAGTCCTCCTTGTGAATAGAGCCCCGAGTGTTTTGTCTAAATACTCATATATACTGTACAAGTTATTAAATTCCAAGTGATTTGAATGAACTTTGCCACTCCTCAGAAGTATGTCCATCCAAAACTGATGCTGATAAAAGCTTCATACCACACCATCATATGTTCCTTGCAGATGAGTGAGAGAATAATATGGGAGTTGCATGTGTTCAAGACCTCTCAGAATTTAGCATTAGAAAGGCTTTTTCAGAAGAGTGCCTTCAGCTGTGGAACCCAACAGCCAGAGATCAAGATGAATCTGTGTTGTTCGGTATAGAGCAAAATGCAAATTGCATTTCTTTGTGAAGATCTACCCTGAATAGGAGGCCATACATGAACACTCAAGTGCCACAAAAAGCTGGTCCCCATCCTTTAATCTCTATATCTATCCCACTCTGTCGGATACTCTCCCATCTGGGATAGGAGGAGGGGAATTAATTTGTTCATGAACCTACATTGAAGGGTTCTTTCAAATTAGTAGAATTGCCACTGTATGAAAGAATCTATAGCATATAACAAATACTTGATATTTGAATCTCAGTTTCGAATCGTGAAGAATTAACATGGACTCTGCCATTCTATTCCCTCCCAGTATAATAAGTTCAAGTGTCGGATCTTGAATGAAAAAGTCAACACTCCAACTACTACAGTGTACAGGTAAAAAGATATCTATATCTATATACACATATACACACTATAATGTCAGTGTCTGTAGTATTTACTAACATAATGTGGGCTAACTGAGCATTGTCTTTGCATTTTCACAGGTGTGGTCCCTTGATAGATCTGTGCAGGGGCCCTCATGTCAGACATACCGGCAAAATAAAGGCATTAAAAATCCATAAAGTAAGCACTGAGATTCTGTGCCTAATTCTAAACAAAGATATTTATCTGTAGACATCTTGGGTCAAATCTCCGGGGGGTTGGGGTGGGAGGGGGTCTTGCACTTTGTGTGATACTGCTAGTATAATCTGATCATAAACTTAGTTTAGCCCAGTTGAGGGAGGATCATCCTGATGTAAGAATGACCTTCTAGTGGTGCAGTCAAATTATGGGGGCCTAAGCCTACGCTCATTGCTGATAGCATAGAAGGAGAGGGGACATGGCTCAAGAAAAGAGGTGTACCCAGGTACCCCATATGCTATGCCAATCCTGGCTTATAATTTTTGCCCCTTGAAACTGCAAGAAGCAGTTACAGTTTTAAATTGGAGCAGCCAGAGGGGAACTGACCATGCACAGAGCAGTACCAGGAGTAAAGGGCACCTTTTCACACAGCCAGCCAACTTGTGTTTGTGCATCTTTGCTACAGTCAGGTAATTTTTTAATGTGTAGATTTAGCTTTCATCATGATTCGAAATCTAAGAGCTCTGTATTCATGCTTGTGTTCTTTTTACATAGTGCCTTTATCAGTTTCATTTTTTAACTATGGCTGTTTAGTGTTTGTTTATTACATGCCTTTAAAGAACATATCACAGATCTGTACAGTGGCAGTTATAATGGAGGGTGCTGTTGTCCTTGTTATACTATACCGTTTTGTCTGGCTTCAGAATTCCTCAACATACTGGGAAGGCAAGTCTGATATGGAAACCCTCCAAAGGCTTTATGGAATTTCATTCCCAGATGTAAAAATGTTAAAGGAATGGGAGAAGTTCCAGGAGGAGGCTAAAAATCGAGATCACAGAAAGATTGGACGGGTAAGACAAACTTGCTGGTAGTGTTTTTTAAATTCTGCCTAGAGACTACTCAGGGCATGTGAAAGACAGCACCTGTCTGCTGACACTTTCAGAATTCAGATGTGATGTATTTCACAGAAAATACAGTAACAAGTTGCATAATTAAGTGATTATCCTCTTCAGAACAGAGCCCCAAAACCCCTACAATGGACTGTAGACAAATAAGCATCTTTTTAGAGAGTTTTTGGCTATTTAGTGCTATGCTGAAGCCCAAGAGGAAGCTCATTCCTGGAGGGGGCTCTTACAGCTTGTCGTTGCTTTGAGTTTTTTCTTTGTACAGCTCTAGAATCCATTATATACTCTTATTTTTTTCTTCTTGGTTATTGCTGACGATTTCTAGTGTTCACAGTTGCACCACGTTTTTTATTCTTTGTCTGCCAATAAAATCAAATCATCTTCATGAAAATGCATTGTTTTAGACAAGGTGATGAATAGAGTCCTGAATAAACTGTTACAGAGCCTGCTGTTTCTATTTGAAGAAAGGAGACCGCAACACACTAAAATATCTCCTGCTCTAAAGCAGGAACACAATCTAGCGAAGTATCAGCTTACTGATTAATTGTTTGAATAGTGCTTTGGATATGTAAAATGTCACAGCAGGACTAGTTATTGTTAGTAGTAATAGCAGATGAGACGAACCTTGGGGGGTGTAGTTAACAAGACATCGCGCACACATATGTGAAATGACAGGTATATGTAGGAACATCTATATTAAAATAGGAAACTGAACACCAACCATAAGATATCGCTCATGACGGAGGATATTTACACAGGGAAGCATATCCGATCTACTGCACCTTGCTATTTTACAGTATGTTAAGTTTAAAAAAACTAAACAAAACTGTAGTCTGGATAGTGATGTGTAATAAGAACTGACGTTTCAGGCCTGACTTTAGCTGTAACACTGGGAGAGGAAAAGGGTTTGATCAGAATCTAAACATATCAGATAAAACTAAGATGTACTAATGTTTTCCAACAGGACCAAGAACTATATTTCTTCCATGAGCTCAGTCCTGGCAGTTGTTTTTTCTTGCCAAAGGGAGCTTACATCTATAACACGTTAATTGAATTCATCAGGGTAAGTAATATCTTTTGGTTCTTCTTCGAGTAGTGTCCCTATGGGTGCTCCACTTTAGGTGTCTGTGTGCCCCTGCACCTCTAGTTGGAGATTTTTGGTAGCAGTGTCCTGCATGTGCTCTTGGTCTGCGGCACAGGTGGGGAACCCCCCTCACTTCCTTCTCTACCGCCTTTCCCCTCTGAGGGAAGGAGCAGTCCTCCCTTCCTTGTCTGTGTCATTAGCATAAGTAGTGCTTGTTTTGTTACCTTTGTTCTCCCTAAAAGTACTCAAGCTAGTGTTTTTGTTTTATTTTATTTTATTCCTTTGGTTTAAAGAGAAAAAGGAAGAGAACTTCACTTTCCTTTCCTGTCTGGGGACATTCCCCCCCACCCCCCAGGCATCTAGTAGACTCATAATTATTTTCTTTTACTTTGTCTTTTCTGTTAAAAAAATGTTCTTCTGCATATTCCTCCCTGCTAGAGGATGACAACCCCCTGCCAAGGGGCTTGCCTGGCTCTCTCTGCTCCAAGCTGTGCCTCTCCTGCCAGGAGTCAGTTCCTGTAATGGCCAGACACTCACTGTGCCTGGGAGACCCTCACAGAAGTGCTTTACCTGCCACACCTAAAACTGCAGCCTCACAGGAGCTGGGAGCTGAAGTTAAAATTCCTCCCAAAAGAGAGAACACTTCAGTCTGCAGGGGACTCCGGTGGGTGTTGACCCCGGATCATCCCCGGAGCCTTCACTTCAAAAGAGGTTGAGTGGTGAAGAAGAGAAAGAGAGAGAGAGGGAAAAAAGCCACCAGCAGACTCCTCCTGGAAAGGCTCCTCTGAGCAACTGGCCAGCCAGAGGGGTGTTCCCCAGTGCAGCCCTCTTGGCACTAGCTGGCCAGCCAGTGGGACTCCCTAGGGCGGCCACCTCGGTAGGACAATACCAGCAGAGGAACATCCTGCTGTGAGCTCTTGTTCGGCATGGGGGCTTCCTGCTGTGAGCTCAGCTGCCGCACCTTCGGTACCAAACTCTGGAAGCTGAAACCTGAGAAGGGGCTTCCTGCTGTGAGCTCTTCCCTGCTCTGAGCTCTGCTCTCAGCACCAACAAGGGGCTTCTGTAAGCTCTGTGCTGCTCTGAGCTCTACTCTGGGCAACTACTGCACCAAGAGGGCACAGTTACTGTACCATCGCTAAAAGAGCGACACAGAGAAGCCCTGCTGTCAGCTCTGCTTTGGCACCAAGACACCAGAGGCTTCCACCATCATGCTCTAAGGAGAGGGGACAGTTACCGTACCATCTCTAAAAGAGTGACATAGAGAAACCCTTTGGTACCAGATGCAATAAAACTCCCATCTAGGAAGTGTTTTGCACCTTCCCAGCCATTGATACCGACTACAGACACTCCTCTGAGGTTCCGGATTAGCCCATGGTAATACAGGTGCTCTGATACTCTGGAGACCCTTGGCCTCTGTACCCAGGGAGAGACAATTACCATACCGTCTCTAAAAAAGTGGCACCAGTAAACTTTTTGTACTGGGCAAAACTCTCGTTTAGGGAGTGCTCTGCCCAACTATCGGTATTGATAATGTACCACAGACCCTCCTCTGTGGTACCAAATGAATCCATGGTACTGCATGAGCACTGGTACCCTGGAGACCTGATGATTGGGGAAGAACCACAGTCCCTAGTACTTGGTACCAGGACCCTGGTATCGAGCACATCCCGGCACCCAGAATCGCTCTTAGCACTGGGCTGTATACTGCCAATACCCCAGTCAGCGCCACCCTTACCCACTGACGAATCTGACACTGGCCAGGAGGCAATCATTCCTTGGCCCCTCAAGGTGGCCCACCACCACACTACAAGGGTCATCCCCAATTCCATCACGCCAACCGCCTGTGCCTGTCTTCCTGCCTCTCCCTCCCAAGGCCATATTGTAACTCTTTGAGTATATACACACACATGGCGCGGCCATCTCCGGCCTATCTCAGGGAGAGTCCACCAGATGGTTTGCTACAGCCTGGCACCTGAGGCAGGGCAGGAGAGAGAGCACCTGAGCCAGGACAGGAGAAAGCTTTTTCAGAACAGGAAAGAAGGGAGAAAAAAAAAAAAACCTGAAGAGGAAGCTACCTCTTCAGCACACTTTTCCTCATCTCTCCCAGATGAGACTGTGCTGCCCACCCCTCATCACTAGGTGAAGATTTAAGAACTTTCTGGATCTTACCAAGAGGGTGGCAGACGAGCTGCAGATTCCCTTACAGGAGGTGGCAGATACACATCACAAGTTGGTGGAAATTCTGCACGCTACCGTCTCATCTAGAACTGTCCTCCCAATTAATGAGCTGATTCTAGATCCTACCAAAATCATCTGGCAGAGCCAGCCTCCATCGTACCAACCAGCAACAGACTGTAAACAAAAACAGCCCTACATCTCTACCCAAAGAGGCAGACTTTGTTTTCAGCATCCGCAACCCAACTCCATCATAGTGGATGTGGTTAATGCATGAAGCAAGCAACATAATGCCAAGTCAACTCCATATGATTAGGCTTCGCAAGATGGCGTATTCATCGACAACAGTACTGTTTAGAGTCATAAATTACCAAACTGTCATGGTCAAAACAATTTTGTTAAACTTGGGAAACCCAGGATGTTTCTGAAATGTTACTGGAAACACAAAAAGAACAGATTCAGACCATTCTTAGAGAAGGTCAGTTAATAGCCGGACCGCTCCTAGAGGCACCACTGGATGCAGCTGTTACAGCTGCCCGCCCAGTCTCCATGACAGTGGTACTGAGGTGGGTTGTAGGGTTTTTTTTTTGTTCGCTACACGTCTCTAGATTGCCCAAAGAGCTACAGACTTCCAATTTGAAGGGCCAAACTCTTTGAAGGCAGATTTTCTCTCCACATCCTGAAGGATTCTCAGACCACACTACACTCCTTAGGAATCTACACTGTAGAACAGAAGAGAAGATATACCTCTCAACCACGCCACAGATCACAATCTTCTCAATACTCACCATCTCTATGCTCTTATGAGCCACAGTGTAAGAGGCCCAGGGCTCAAAAGTGAGAACAGTCTGCACCCCAGTCATTGACCTCTCAAACTGCCTCTTATAAGCACTTAATGAGCCAGTCAGGGGCCTGAACAATGATACCTTACAGCATCAGCTGCCATCTATACACCTGTGACGCCACTCAGAAGTCACCTTACCTTACTTCTCAGCAGTTAGGACCAGCTCTAGAGTAAAGAGATTGATTTCTAGCCCTGAACCTACAGGGTGCTTACTTCCATATCTCAATACAACCATCTTACAGGAGATTTCCTACGGCTTACTTTTGGGGCAGGATCATTATAGGTACAGACTGCTCCACACAGGGTAGTCTCCAAGGTTTACTTAATTGTAGTGGCATACTAACCCCAGTACAGTGACTGGACTTTATCAGCACCAACCTGATGCAGTACAAGCAAGAGTGCTCCTCTCACTACCCGCATTCACCACCCTGGGACACATCTCCCGAATATGCTGGGGAGCTCACCTACACGACAACAAGGTTCAGCACAAATGATCTTCCACAGAAATGACCTTCCATATCACTCTTTTGGGGTTAGGGGCTGTCAGGAGTGCCTGTGCACAAACTCTGCCTTTCATCAAAAACAACACACAAAGGTTATGGTGGACTTAATGTGACCTGTATGTTTTGTATAAACTGCCAAGGAGCTGCCAGATCTCCCTCCCTCTGCAAGACAGCATTCAAACTTTGGAACTGATGCACCCATCACAATGTGCTCATCTCAGCTGTCTGTCTACAAGGGATACAGAACGGGATAACGAACAGTCTCAGTTGCAATTTTCTCACAACAATGAGTGTATACTGAATTCTGAGGTGCTTCAAGATATAGTCACCCTTTGGAGAACCCGGCTTATGGATCTCTTCGCTATTTATTGGAACAAGAAAAGTCCTTGTTACTGCTCCAGGATCGGCTTGGGGAAACATTTACTGGCAGTTGCCCTCATCTTCCCAGCAGACAGGGCCCACTTGTATGTCTTTTCCTAGTTTCCTATCCTATCCAAGATTCTGTTGAAAATTCAACAAAACAAAGCGAGAGTTATTGTGATTGCCCCTCTTGACTATGACAAGTCTGGCTCCCTTACCTGACACAGATGGCAATATGCCCTCCTGTTCCTCTGACGTCAGCCCATTCCTCACCCGCTCTCTCAAAACAATGTGGTGACCCTTCACCCCAACCCATGGGTCTTCCGCCTCCAGGCTTGGATCCTTCTTTGTTCCAAGGCTAAACACATGTTGCCACACAGCCACAAGTTGACCACTCCACATATCTATCTGCAAAATGGAAATGACTCCAAGTTTGTACCATTCCAAACAGACAGACCCAACCTTGTCTTTCCTCCCTTTGATTTTGCACTACATTTTAAACTCTCACTCAGCTCCCTTAAGGTACATATCATGGTGGAAATGGCTTCCCACTGGGAGTTTGCTCAACGACTAAGGCATAGATTCTTTAAGGGCACTGAGACTCTCTTCCCCCATGTGACACCACCCGCTCCAGCCTGGGACTTTAATCTAGTTCTCAGGGCTTGGACTAGACCTCCCTTTGAGTCCAAGGCAACTTTTTCTCTCCTACACCTGTCCATGACGACAGCATTTCTAATTGCCATCACCTCAGCTAGGCACAAAGGAGAAATAGCAGCCCTGATGGCACACCCATCATTCATGGCCTTTGTCTTAAAAAAAACCCAAAAAACAAAAAAAAATAACTCTCTAAGGCCATATCCCAAGTTTCTCCCTACTTTTTCTGCACTTTCTATATGAATCAACAGGTCCATCTCCCTGTCTTTTCCCAAAACCAAATTGTGACAACTGGGAGACAATTGTGCATATACTAGATATTAGAAGGACATGAGCATTCTACTTGGACAGGACTAAGGACTTCAGGAAATCCCCTAAACTCTTCCTTTCGTCCACAAAAAAATCCAAAAGCTCTGTGATATCTCCTCAAAGACTATCCAAATGGGTCCCTAGTTGCATTAACCACTTAGCAAGGGTGCAACTTGCTCCCGTCCATACGCACTCCATGAGATCAGTTCCTACCTCAATCACATTCCATAGGGATACCCCTATCTCCCCAATCTGTAGAGCAAAAATTGGGGCCTCTGTCCATACTTTTGCAGAACATTATGCGATCATTGAAGATTTGGCCACTGACACAGTCTTCGACTCCACAGTACTCTCTGTAGTAAAAGGCTCCGCTCCGAAGTCCCAGTCTCCAGTGGTGGGTACTGCTCCGGAGTCACCTAAAGTGGAGCACCCATAGGGACACTACTCGAAGAAGAAGGGGAAGTTACTCACCTTGTGCAGTAACGATGGTTCTTCGAGATGTGTCCCCCTATGGATGCTCCACAACCCGCCCTCCTACCCTCTACTTCGCAGTTCTCTATAGGGCTCTGCAGTAGAGAAGGAAGTAAGGGGGGGTTCGCCTGTGCAGTGCTAAATAGCCTCGAGGCAGACCATGAGGGAGGGAGAGCACATGCCCGGGCTCAACGGGACACTGCTACCAAAAATCTCCAATTAGAGGTGCAGGGGCACAGACACCTAAAGTGGAGCACCCAGAGGGACACACATCTCGAAGAACCATCGTTACTGTACAAGGTAACTTCCTCATTTTTTTCTCCTGTGTTTTATAATAAGATTTCTAGACGAAGAGCTAAAAAGGTTTTAGAAGACCATATAACAATAAAATTGGGATTAATTTTAAATGTTTGAATGGGTTCTGCTTTAAAAAAAAATAGTAGTATACAGTACACGGGTGGTTGAATGCATGTTTGTTTAATAGGTTATTGAGTTTAGCCTGGCAGAGTTGGAGAGCTACTTTCTGGAGAATGGCATGTAAGAAAGCAAAAGAGATGGGGGAAACATCCTGACATTCTGCTGTGATATTTGCATGGTCACCGCACCATGTTTTGCATTTGTGCTACACTACTGTGCAAACATTGCAATGCAATATCACAAGGCGCATCCAATTATTTTATGACTCTAACAAATGGAGACTGATTCTCGATTGCTTCTATGGTTGCTGGGATGGAGAAACATGTTTCTTCTCTTATTCCCCACCCCTTCACCCTCTCTGCTGCAAAGAATGAGAAGGAATCTTGGCAGCCCCTGCCTGTTTAACACATTATTGCCTGGCATGTTTCAGGGGAGCAACTTTGCTTGTTTTTAATGAGTCATACACTGCAAACGCTGTCTAAAGAGACAAATGTGGCTTTAAGCCACAGGTTGAGCATAGGTATTCTAGTCTGCTTTATTAATTCTTCTATTTCTTGGGTCTATTCTTTCAGCGCGAGTATCGGAAACGAGGATTCCAGGAGGTTGTCACTCCAAACATGTACAACAACAAACTCTGGATTACATCAGGGCACTGGCAGCATTACAGTGAAAACATGTTTTCATTTGAGGTGGAGAAGGAAATCTTTGCTCTGAAGCCCATGAACTGCCCAGGACACTGGTATTTATATAGCACCTGTTTCATCAAATATTGCCAATTTGTTTGGACTAGCTCTAGCTTTTATATTTTCCACCCGATTTGTGAAAAAATCCAAGCCATGGCGCAGCGGGGCTAAGGCAGGCTTCCTGCCTGCCCTGGCCCCGCGCCACTCCCAGAAGCAGCCAGCACCACATCCCTGCAGCCCCTGGGGGAGGAGGGCTCTGAGCGCTGCCCTCGCCTGCAGGCACCGCCCCTCGCTTCTCCCATCGGCCGGGAACAGGGAACCGCGGCCAATGGGAGCTTCGGGGGTGGTACCCGTAGGTGAGGGCAGTGAGCAGTGGAGTCACCTGGCCCACCCCAACTCCCAGGAGCCACTGCAGGACATGCTGGCCACTTCTGGGAGCAACGCAAGGCCAGGGCAGGCAGGGAGCCTGCCTTAGCCCCACTGCGTGCCGCTGCCATCCCAGAGCTGCTCAAGGTAAGCGGTGCCAGGCTGGAGCCCCCACCCTGAACCCCTTCTGCACCCTGCTGCCCTGAGCCCCTTCCTGAACACCGCACTCCTTCCCACATCCCAACCCCCTGCCTCAGCCCTACATTTATGGCCCTGCATACAATTTCCCCACCCACATGGGCCCTCAGGCCAAAAAGTTTGCCTAACCCTGTTCTGAGTAGAGCAAACCAATCTAAAGAACCAAATATGGTATGATGATGATGGACATATTGAAGAGACACTTTAAGGATGCCACCAACACTACTTCCATGAAAAGTGACAATATGGACACCATCTGGAGAGAGAAAAAGGGCAACCTAGAGGAATATTATACACAACAATAGAGAAAAGCCAGATCCATCAACGTGATATTCAGAAGTCTGAACAGACCAGCACAAGACCAAAATACATGGAAGAAACTGGTGAATGTATTTTGCACCTGAGAGTGAGGAAGGATAAAGGGGGGGAAGAGGGGGGAATGTGTATATATATCACCATTTCACAGGTGAAGTTTAGGAAGCCAGCTTTTAATATTTGACTTAGATGTTGTATGGCTCTTAGGAAAAACCTTCTTTTTCATTCTTCCAAACAGCCCTGAATTTTTTTCCCCTGGATTTGATTGTATGCTGTGTTACAACTTGTCAGTATTACTGAAATTGCTAGCATCTGGCTTATCAGAATGCACCCTAAGGATCTTTAATAGTTTAATCCTGAATAAATTTCAAATAATGAACCTTTTCCTTCAGCCTTATGTTCAACCATCGACCAAGATCGTGGCGTGAGTTGCCGCTGCGTATGGCAGATTTTGGAGTTCTCCATCGTAATGAACTGTCAGGAGCCCTTACAGGACTTACTAGAGTACGGCGGTTCCAGCAGGATGATGCTCACATATTCTGTGCCATGGAGCAGGTAAAGCATATTGTTGAATAAGAGGATACGTGTTAAAATGCAAACAACACAAAGCCTTAAATATGATTTGTCTTCATGTAAAGATTGAAGGGGAGATAAAGAGCTGCCTGGAGTTCTTGCAAGCAGTGTATGGTGTGTTTGGATTTTCCTTCAAACTGGACCTCTCCACTCGTCCTGAAAAGTTCCTTGGAGATATTGAAGTGTGGAATCAAGCTGAAAAGGTAATAGGTAACGTCAGGGGCCTGGTGTAGAGGTTTTAGCTCTGTCTTCAAGTAGTGGGAAACTGGAATGTCTGAGGGGGAAAACATGGTCCTCCAGATGGACTTGTGACAGCTGTGACTGTCAGCAGTTCAGCTTGTACAGCCATTTTAAATTCTTTCTGCCACCAGCTAATAATAGCTCTGTGTATGGAGATCATGGTGGATGATGATATAACGAGAACTTGAATTCATTTAAAAGAAAGGGCCAGAAGATGTAACTACTTAAAATGGAGAAGAAAGCAAGATAGGTTTTTCTCAAGCATGTGTGTGATCAGAATTTTGAACCACCATCCAAGAGTTTTGAGCCACCATCACCATGCACCTTAATCATGACAGTAGTACTGCTGAATTTAACTCCACAAGTAAGGGAAACAAGATTAGGTCCCCAATTATAATTGGGCATTGTTGACAGTTAGGTAGTAAATGACCTAGTATTCAATATATCTCTGTGTGTGTGTGTGTGTGTGTGATCTGATACTGTACTATGTGGAAGAAAAAATATGGCACATGGAAATAAATACAAAGTGAAAACACTAAAAACACATATCCTTTCTCCAGCAACTTGAAAACAGCCTCAATGAATTTGGTGAGAAGTGGGAATTGAACTCTGGGGATGGTGCTTTCTATGGACCTAAGGTTAGTATGCTTTCCTGGGATGTAATTTTTTCCCTCTCGTATGTAGCTTGATGGCTAACTCTAAAGCAGTGAGGCAAAGTTCTTAGTTGTTTTCATGTTAGATGCTACAACTTCCAAGAACTTGTTTTGTGCTTAACATTTTTCTATTTCATCAAATCAACTCAATTTACACAGACAAAACAATCAGGATTAATTTTATCATTGTAATGAGGAAGTAGATAACTCATTGGGAAGCATGAACAGAAGGTGGCACTATCAGGCCTGGTATGAGAGAGTTTTACGTGTATTGGGAATATTCAAGTTTAGAGATCAGTAACTTCTCGCTTGTTTTTGGGGGGGGGCGGCGGGGAGGGTTGGTTTTTTTAAGCAGCAGTTTAGTTTGGTTTCTCATTAAAGTTTTAATTGCACACTAGCCATGAACAATTTTACCTGAAGTAAAATATCACTTCTGGTATTTGCAATTTTGTAACTACTATAGTGTGCTTCTATTCATCTTTTATGAATAGTTTTTGAATGCAATATTCATGAAATTATCTGGAAAAGTGGAGTTAGAATTGTATTGACACCTCTTTCAAGGAAAAATAAGCCCGTTCCAGGCATCTGAGTAAAACTTGTCAAATTACTTGTTTTGAATAAGCTATTCAATAAACATAGCCTACTTTTCTGTTCACAGATCAGTAGAAAACTGATTTGATTTCTACGAATGTATGTTAGTGGTAAATATTCACTAAATGATTTGAACAAATTTCACCTTGTGGACTGTTAGCAAACTATTGGTGGTTACAAATGTTCATTGTTAACATTAGATCTTGTCTATATACAAGCTTGCACCCACAAAATTAAATCAGTTTAGACTGGTGCGTACATCTGTGTGAATACATTTCAGGTTAGCTTAAACCTGTTCCTAATAGACTAAAGCTAAATTGAAATAATTACCCATGTAGCCTTTTGCACTGGTTTAACTAAAACAGTTTAAGATTGCACCTTAAGTTCAATTGGTGCAGCTCTGCATGTAGTTAAGCCCTAAACTAAGTGGGATTTTTTTTTTACTTCATGATTGGATTACTAAATTAATGAGACTAGCAAGCAGCACACTTCTGTTAAGAATTTTGATGAATAACTATAAAACTTGATAAATTTAGTGTTCAAAAATCCAGAAAAACTGACTGTTATCCAAATACTTGAACAACAAATGGCACCATGTTTATTTGTCTCCCCCCCAAAAAAATAAAAATGAAATCACTTTTTGTTTTGACGAGCGGATTCTGAAGGTCACTGAGGAGTTTGTTCAGTAAAACAGCTTAAACTGATTTAATAGTTTGGCTTTGTATGTAAATAAAATAAACAGGGTTCTTCCGCTTCCTCTTTTTAGTAGTAGAATGCTGGAATAATAGGGACAATTTGCTAAATTATTAAGGCCCAGATCCTGCAAATACTTGCTTACATGCTTAACTTTCAGCCAAGGGTTTTCAGGATTGCAGCCTGGATTTAAAAGAAAAGCATAATATGCGTGTATTCAGATCTGTGAGCCAAGTTACTTTGATGAAACTGAGCAATCCAAAATAAAGGAGTATGATCTTCATTACTCAGTGATCTTTTCCTCAACTGATAGCCCTCACTTATGGAGGTATGCCCTTTAGCATGTATTGTAGGCTATGAAGCTGACACCTTTGATTATCTAATATTTTAAGTTAAATAGGCCTGAGATTGGTTCAGCTACAGGTTGCAGAAGTCTTGGTTTTGATGATTGTTCATTTTGACTTTTTAAAGTTATTCCCATGTACAATTGAATAGATTCAATGAGAACCCCATGGAAAGCGAAGTAGCCGCAAATTGGTTCAGTGCACTGAATCAATGTGCAAATTTCATTTGAATTAGTGAACCTCCTGCTGTATTCATTTCTGTCAGAGGGCTCAACCGAGGCCCTAAAAGCCATTTATGTCTTACCGTGGGCTGAAGAGAGGCAGACGATGTATTCACATGGTTCCATAGCGCTGGGATAGATTTCACTCAGTGTGAAGTGTTTGAAAATCTCTTTGCTATAAGAGGGCATTGCTGTATCTTATAGATCTTACTAAAAGCTTGATTTGTTTCTTAGATTGACATTAAGATTAAAGATGCCATTGGCCGATACCACCAGTGTGCTACAATCCAGCTAGATTTCCAGCTCCCAGTCAGATTTAACCTTACCTTTGTGAGGTGAGTACAACTAAAAATGTTAGTGTATAGTAGGTACACAATCTAGTTTTCCTGTCACTTATAGGCATATTAAATAAGTTTGCAATATTTCTTTTATTTACAGCCATGATGGTGATGACAAGAAAAGGCCAGTTATTATTCACCGGGCCATCTTAGGATCTGTGGAAAGAATGATTGCTATCCTAACCGAAAATTATGCAGGCAAATGGTAATGTTGAAAAATAAACTTACTGTCCAGCCAGGGAGTGAGCACTCTGGATGGTGTAAAAGGGGATTAATCATGTCTAAAAGAGTTAAAGAACACTAAACACTACATAATTGTTTTTTTCTGAAGGCCTCTCTGGCTGTCTCCTCAGCAAGTGATGGTGGTGCCGGTGGGACCAACATGTGACAAATATGCACAAAAGGTGAATTCATTTGTCCCAAGATAAATTTGTGATTTAGTTGAGTTGCTTAATTGTTATTAAGCTCTGTTTTTAATTAAGGAATTTATATAAATTCCTGTTGTAAGTAAGTTATATTGTATTCAGATGATAAATTAAGCTGCCTAAATTCTAAATGGACCTTAATCATCAGAAGCATGAAGTTTGGATATCCAGAATCCAGACAACAAATGTTGATGCTGGAGAGAACGTTTGTGGTTGTGGAGGCAAAGGAAATTGCTCAGCTCTGCAGCTAGAGGGAAACCCCATGGAGAAAGTATCTTTACATTTATATGCTGATCCTGCAACTGACTCCACTCAGGCAGACCCTCAATGCCCACGTGCAGTTTGAGTAATGATGATGGGGGAGGAAAAGACAGGGGTCTTTGTTTGCAGTATTAAAATACAATCCACTCAAATAGCACTATGTATGTCTCTTTCAAACACATCAGGCCTAAACTTTAAAGGATCTTCTGATCACAAAGACCCATAGCTCTCCTGGCTTCAACATTGCTAAATTCTCATAGAGTATCCATCCTAATGGATCTGGGTACTAGATTGCTTAGTGATTTAGTGTGTGCAAGGCTCTCCTGCCATGTCCAAGCCATTCTTCCATATTTCAGTGCCCTGTGCACTTTTTTGCCACTACCAAGGGGTAGTGTCAAAATGTGTCTGCCTCTGAATGAGAGCAAAACAGAGATCTAATTTTAATTTTTGGCTGTCAAATCTCAAATGGTCCCTTTCACTCAAAATCCACATATTCTCTCATGATTGAGGGTTCAAATAATATTTTGTGCTTTTACTACTTAGGTCAGACAGCAGTTCCATGATGCTGGATTAATGTCTGATGTAGATGTGGATCCTGGGTGTACGCTGAACAAGAAGATCAGAAATGCTCAGCTTGCACAGTATAATTTTATCCTAGGTAAAGAAATAGCGTGTGGTGGCCATGCAATACCATGGCTGACTTGTTTTTCTTGTACGCAGCTGAAATTTGGTCTAACCCATTTTCCCAGTGTGTGAATGAGTAAGGCAGAGGCAGCACTTAACACCTGTAAATTCCTTTTTAAGTTTCTTTCACAGCCAGCATCCTTCCGGCTGTGTGTGCCTGGGCAGTACATGCTGTGAAGCCAATCTCTGCTGCTTTGTTAGTTGAAGAGATTGCTGTACAGTGACTCGATAAGTTGACACTGCATCAGGAAAAGTATTTTGGTGCCTTTCAGTCAACAGGGCAAGACACTGGCTCAGTCAAAGATTACATTAAATGATTTGCAATAACTTGATTGTTCTCATGTCAAGTGTGTGCTAGAGGAGGAATGCCACATTCTAATCTCTGATTTCAGGCTGTATTCCAAGATATCTTGGTGCATTAATGAGTCTATGCACATGTGCCCAAGAACCGAGTCTTGATGTTGTGCAGCAAAGATGAGAATCTGGCCCTAGAAGTATAACACAGTATTGTTAACAGAAGCACCGTCAGTCATGGGGTTTTCGTTATTCAGTGTGTCTGCTGGAATTACTAAAGGTAGCTTGAGATGTAGGGATGGGGCAAAGGAGGATGCAATGTAGGATTCAGTTGTATTAGGGTGTTCTTATTCTTAATTCTTATTTAAAGAAGTGTGATTTTTATTTTATTTTTTTAATCAAGCCTTGAGCAAAAATTATATTAATCTGTGGATTTTGGCTTTGTTTAGTTGTTGGTGAAAAGGAGAAGGCGAGTGGAACAGTTAATATCCGTACTCGAGATAACAAGGTGCACGGTGAACGAACTGTTGCTGATACTGTGGAGAGGCTGCTACAGTTGAAACGCCGTCAATGCAAACATGCTGAAGAAGAATTCTAACAGATTGTATTTCCCTACCTGGTTTAGTGTAAAAAGGATAAGTTTTATAAAGCAGTTAAATCATATTGTAACATCTTATATGCACTAGGTTGCATTTGAAATAGATCGTCAAATGAGCCAACAAAAATCAACCGTGAAACACCTTTCTATATTATTCAGACATTACATGTGTCTATGGAAAGACCATTTTACACAAATGATGCAGCAAAGCTTCTTGGTATCTGATCACAAAAAATGAAACCAGGTGACTAAGGCTTAATATGAATTGAGGGGAAATGGAATTGTTAATGAAGGATTAAAATATTGTAGTAGTCGTTTAATATTGTTGTAAGTAGACGACTAAGAAAAATAAAATTTTGGTAACGGTCTTTCATCAGGTTCAGCTTGGGCATGTGATGGATTGTAGTGTACAGCAGAGTGACTACATTGGTAGTGTTCATTTTACATCTCAGTGCAACTGAACCTGAAGACTTGGAACCTGAAAATGAGCCCCCTTTTAAAAGAGGCTGTTCATGAGGCTGCAAAGTCAAAACTAAAGATAGAGGTAGGTTGGGGATAGATTTTAAAGGGCCTGGAAAGTGAAGAGGGGGAGAGAAGCATAAAGAGAATCATCAACCCTGTCACTAGAAAGAGCAGGGAGGAGAGGTCAGAGCAGTCAAGAAGCCTGCAATACTGGATGGACACTGTACGACTGAGTAACTATCGCCCCCATCCCTAGTGCTATTGGAGGGGAAGTTAGGTAGAGAGAGCAGTGGGTGATGAAGACCAAGTCAAGTAAGCAGCCCTTTTGGGGAGTAGGGAAGTTGATCTAGGGCTGCAGGTTGAATAATGAGGTAGGGGTGAGGAAATGTGCAGCTAAGAGGTTGGATGAGTTATCAGCATGGAAGTTGAAGTGGGGCGGGAGGGAGGGAATTGGGAGAAGAGGAAGAGGTGAGCAAGCCAGGAGTTAAAACCAGAAAAAGGCTGATTGTGAGGAGCTGGGTAGATGACCTCAACGTGGAGGGGGAGAGGATGACAAAGACTGGCGGTGTGGTAAATACTGATGAGGACAGGGCAGTCACAAAGTAATCTGGATTGCTTGGTACGCTGAGCCTATTCAAACAAAATGCATATTAACACAGTCAAAGGCACAGTTGTGCATCTAAAAACAAGGAATGTAGGCCACACCTACAGAGTGGGGGACTGTACCCTGGACAGCAGACACTCTGAAAAGGACAGAGGGACTGGCATAGTGGACAGGCCACTGAACATGACCACCCAGTGTGATGCTGTGGCAAACCATGCTAATGCAATCATTGGCTATATAAGGAGGAATAGGGAGGTGAGAGCTGAGACTGATGTTGGAATACTGCAACTAATTCTGATGTCCTATGTTTTATAAAGGATGTTGGGAAAAAATGGAAAGGGTGCAGAAAGAAGTCACAAAAATTATTCAGGGGATGGAGAAGATGCCTGACAGTGAGAGCTCAGTTTGTTTAATTTATCAAAAAGGGGACAGAGATGTGACTTGATTACAGTGTGTTAGTTCCTTAATGGGGAAAAAATACGGGGTATTTAGAGGCTCTTTAGCAGAGAAAGGCATAGCAAGAATCAATAGCTGGAATCTGATGCCAAGCACATTCAAATTGGAAATAAGGCAAGGGTGATTAACCACTGGAACAAACTGGCAGGGGAAGTGGTGGCCTGTCAATCTCATGATGTTTGTAGGTCAAGACTGGATGCATTTCTGGAAGATCTGCTTTAGTCAGACACAACTTGTGAGGCTCAATACAGTGGTAACAGTGAAATTTAACTGGCTTGTGATTTACAGATCAGACTAGATTATTATCTAATCTTCCCTTCTGGCCTTAAACTCTGTGAATCAGTCTGTAAAAGGGGAACCAAGTCTCTCAGATTTTATAAATGTAATGTAGTTGAGTATAAAACGTTTAACTACATTACCTCAAGAGACAACACCATGGGGCTGCCACTACAACCTGTCAGAAAAATAGGAATTGATTTTTCTATGGGAGTCCTACTACAGCCAAGAATGTTTTCTACGAGGCTAGTCCAGTCTGTTCACCTACATGTTTACTGGCTGTATTGTAAATACTTTCAGTCCATGTGAGAAGTTTGTCAGACTAAGAGCTACGGGGGAGAAAGAGTGAGAGTTGACCAACAGGGCATATGGGACTGCATGGGCAAAAAAGATTGAGAAGAGGAGCTGGTGGGGAGGGGAGTGAAGATTGGGACTTTGGGGATCCCCAAGAATGGCCTGGCTGGGCAAGGAGACTGGGACCAGGACGAGGTGCCAAAGAAGTTTCGCTGTGCAACCTTAATTTGCCCCTCTTGTACATATGCATTATAACAATCTTCAATTAGATGATCAATACTATATTTTCCACAGGGCCTTGCCTCACTTAGTAGGCAGGCTGGACCTGCTCATGGGATGAATCAGGGTTGTGTGGTGAATGAGGCTGTTTTCTGTAGGACCTCTGTCTCATTTGATGCAAAAGTTTAGTGGTGCCTATTGGATGAAGCAGGGCATTGTGGGAAGAGAAAGGCTATCCTCTTGGCTGCCCTGGAGAACTGGATTCTGTCCCTGCCCCTGCCATAGAGTTCCTGTGTGGTACTGGGCAAGTCACTTAAACCAAACTTTTCACAAGAAGTCACTCATTTTCTGGATGCTGAACTTCAGACCCTGGGGTCTGGTTTGCAGAAGTGCTGAGCACTCTCAGCTGCAGCTGGAATTACTGAGAGCTGTGGTTTTCTTTTTACCTTGAACAATGAGACTAAAACAAAATATTCCGTAGTTCCTCATTCAGTGAGCGCCATCTGGCCTGTGCGCTGGCAGAGGCAGAGGTCCTGTAGGAAAAATAGTTTGTGAGCATATAATGAAAAGACAGTTCTAATGGATATACACAGAGGGCCAAATTAAGATTGCACAGGCAAATGTAATTCTGGCTTTTGAGTGCTTGACTTTGCAACCTTAATGTAGTTTTTTGGACTGTTTATCTCTCTTGATATATATTGTGCATCTGTTAGCTCAGTGTATTAAAATAACATTAAGAGCAATGCTGCTGTTTCAGCATCAGTGTGCATTGTGTTGTATAAGAGACAGTTCCTACCCCCCCCAACCTTATATAACAGACAAACAAGAACACAGAGAGATGGGGAATGATACTAACTTTGAGGGGAGTGTGTTCTTCATGGAACTGTAACAGGTTTGATGTATGCCAACGTTGTGGCCTTGAAGTAGTAAGAGTTAAAGAGGTAGTTGAATGTATCAAAGCAGGAAGATGTATTCCTATATCATACTTAGTCTCGTATGTAAGCCATTGTTGTCAGTTATCTCAAAAAAGTGAAATGAAGCATTTACAAGGGGAAATGCTAAAACACGTGGCAAGTTTTCTGCCAGTTTCCTCACGCTGTGCGTGCACAGGGGAGAGCTATGCAGATACGATCAGGCAGGCAGTCTCATTGAGGTGACAATGAGAATACTGGAGATAGGTACAGATAGGGCCCTTGATTACAGCCAACTGGTCTGCTCTTGGGCTCGTGCTCAAGGGGCTGGTAGACCATGAAGGCGAGAAGGGAAAAGAAACCCGCAGCAAATCCTCAGTGGGTGTAAGTTGTCAGAGTGCCATTGAAATCAATGTAATTTACACCATCTAAGAATCTGTCCACCACAGAAGTTAGGAGAAAGGAGACTCAACTATCTCCCAGTAGAAACTATTATTTTCTTTGGGAGGGCTTGTTACCCAGGGTTTTCAGAACCCAACGCAGTGGTAAGTTCTCTTTCTCTCCAGTGTCAGGAATAAATTAATGGGAACACAGTGCATCTGATAAATGATTGATACAAGGAAGCATGCTCTTATCTAAAATTACTATTTATTAGCTATTAAGCACACACACAATAGGTTTAGGACATCCCAGATATAGTTACCCACAATCTGAGATGGTTTTGAGGGATCACCAGCCAGGATTCTAGCAGTCCTCTTTCTGTTCAGCTGAGGGGGAGTTTAGCTATCAGCTCCTTGCCTGAAGAAAAGCTCCCTCGGACTGCTCGGAGATATTTACTTTTACCTTTTAATCTTTTATAGCTAACTAACAAAACACATAACCTCTAGTGAGTCAGCATTATAACCTCCACTAGGTCACCAATTCTCCTAATGTCAACAAACTACTCATTATCTCAAAACATTTCTAGTATTTCTTGCCAAATCAACAGTAACTCAGGGGCACCTAAAACCAAGGTTGCTATTCACTTACTCTCCTTCATAACTTCCAGTCCCATCCTCCCATTCTAATTAACAAACTGCAAGCATGCAGCTGTCTGACCGTGTCTCATAAAGGCCTAAGATTCTCCTAGCTATGTAATGTTTGGTTTTCAGTTGGCAGTGGTTGACCATACAAAATGGCTGACTGCAGTACTAACTGTCAAGTTCTGGGGTACAGGCAGGAATGTCAAATTCTGGGGTAACAGGCTGGATCGCCTGAATTCTTGTGCTCTTTTCCCACAGCCCCCTTCCACTCTGAGTGATCTAACCTGCAGGGTAGGTGGCTGATAGTGGCAGGCAATAATTAAACTCTTTGACAGGGAAATTAGAGAATTTGGGGGTCCCCAAGGAAAAGCTAGATTCTTTCTGCTCTCAGTAAGTCCTAGGCTCCTAGAGAGTGAGTAGCAGCAAGTGGTGTTACTCAGATTAATGTTTCTTTATTATTCTGAGACAACAAAAACAGTTTTTCAAATAAGGACAGTACATTCTACTTCACTGGGATGCCCCAGTGCTTGGCCTTTCATCCCACATGAATGAAGTTTCCAATTAACAGAGCATGCCACTCTATTCTTGAAGTGGTTCATAAATTGCCTTGCTCACATCAAGCCTGCTGGTTCACTACAGCGGTAAATATAACAGGTATAAACAGCTTAGTGATTTTTACCCCAATGGATTGAAAGTGTAGTTGAAGTAGATAAATACCGTGCCAACAAGCTTCTGAGAAGGCTGTCCACCCTGCCTCGAGAATTAGCTTTAGAGAGGGGTCAAAAGGGACCCTGTTAGCTGAACACCCCGAAGAACTGTGATGTTTTTCTTACAACAGAACATAGATCTGAACTACCCCAGGCTTTAGGAAACCCCAAACAACCCCAGTTTTCCCATATCAGAGCTATATTGAAGCAGGAATATCTGACTTAACCCTTCCAAGACCCACCCCAGCCTTCCTAAGTGTGAGGAGAAAAATGAAACCTGGATCAGAACCCTCTCCAATTTCAATTTTGCCAAACCAATATCCAACCAAGAAGTTTTAACAAAATCAAAACCCAGCCTCCTTGGTCTATCGCTATCTAAACAATTCTAGGAAGGAGAATTAAAAGACCAGGGACCTGTTTTGCCA